TGGATAAATGTGCCCAGGGCTCTTTCTGCATGCTTCATTTTGTTCCACTGATCTATATGTCTGTTTTTGTGCCAGTAAGATGTTTTTCTCATTGGAGCTTGGGGGTACCTCCTATTTTTCTTTTGTTGCCTAGGATTGCTTTTGCCATTCTAGGTCTCTTATGGGTCCATATGAATTTTAGGATGGTTTCCTCTAGTTCTGGAAGGAATGCGGTTGACGTTGATCAGGGATGCATTATATCTCTATATAAATTTTGGTAATAGTTATTTTGACAATATTAATTTTGCCTATCCAGGAACAGAGGACATCTTACTATTTTTTAATGTCCTTTTTCAATCTCTCTCTCTCTCTCTCTCTTTAGAGTACTGGGGTTTTAATTATAGAAGTCTTTTTCACTCCTTGATTAGGTTAATTCCAACATATTTAATTTTTTGATGCTATTTGGACAGAACTGGGGATTGAACTCAGGCCCCTGCACTTGCAAGGCAAGCGCTTATTCCACTGAGCCATCTTTCTGGCCCTTGATGCTATTTTGAATGGCATTGTTTTCCTAATTTCTTTCCCAGTGAGTTCATCTTTGGTACACAGCGATGCTATTGATTTTTGTGTGACTTTCATATCCTGTTATATTGTTGAATTTGTTTGTTAATTCTAGAAGTCTTTTGGTGGAGTTTTTGGGTCTTTATATTTATGTAAAGGATCATGTCATCTATGAGTAAGGATAAGCTGACTTCTTCCCTCCTTATTCATATCCCTTTTCTTTCTTTCTCTTGCCTGATTGCTCTGGTGAAAGTTTCGAGTTCTATGTAGAACAGGAGTCATGTGAGGGGACATTCTTGTCTTGTCCCTGATTTTACAGAAAAAGTTTTCTGTTTTTCTTCCTTTAGTATGATGCTGGCCCTGGGTTTATCATAACTGGCTTTTATTAGCTTGAGGTAAGTTCCTTCTATATTTAGTTCCATCTGTATTGTTCTCATGAATGGATGTTGGATTTTGTCAAAGGCTTTTTCTATATCTATTGAACTAATCATGTGATTTTTGCTCCTGCTCCTGTCTATGTGATAGATTGCATTTATTGATTTATGGTTTTTTTTTCTTTTTCTTCTTTTTTTTGTGCAGGGTCTCACTACATAGAGAGAACTATGAACTCATAGAGACCCTCCTGTTCTTAGCCTCTCTAGTGCTGGGATTACAGGTGCATGCCA